TATATTTTAAATAGTATCTTTCCTCTAGAATCCTGTTGAAACCTGTTCATTTCCTCCAAAAGTGACACACAGCCTGGCACACGTCCTTATGAGCCATCTGAAGGTGTATCTCAGAACTGAAAATGGATCTTGGTCCATTTTAGTACTAGCCTGAGAGAGGCTTACCTCCCAATTCAGGCTAAACCAGCACTAAATCTTGGGCAAGGCTAAATGCTTAGTAACTCACAGAGAGCTCCTGAGAAGCTCTCTTTGAGAAAACAGCAGGTTTTCTATTTCCAGGGTCCTTCGTGGGATGTTGCACTACCAGCAAAAAATATTCCTGAGAAATTTTCTTACCCTTTTTCTCATCTTCAAAAAGTACATCCCAGAAAGACTTCTTCACTGAACTACCTTGCAAAAGTGAGCTGGCAGGGGACTGCAACCTATTTCACCTTATGTAACTTGAGGCATATCTTGAACTCTTTTTCCTCCTTGTTAGTGTGTTCATTCATTCTGCTTGCTGGGATAGTGCCCGAGCCACTGTTCCCCAAAGTTCTGACTGCTGGATCACACTTTCCAGAGAAAAATGGGTGATATTTGACAAATAAATCTCCTCCAGCTTCCCTGACCTTTCCCATCAAAGCTGGCAAGAGTCCACGTGAGTAACAGCTGGGCCTTTAACATGGCATGGCCTCTGCAATGGCTCTTCCAGTTCTCCCACTGCCACCTGGCCATCAGGGTTGCTGAAGATGGATGGAAGGAACAGCATGTTTCTCATGCCCTTTGGCTTCGGCCTAATCCTTCAGTCATAGATCAGGACTAACAGTTTCCAGCCAACACAAGCTGAAAACAAAGAACACTCTCCTGCGCTGAAAAGCCAAGTGCCAGGGAAGGACAGAATCAGGACACCAGCAGGCAGGTGGGAGCAGGATAAGAAGAACAAAAAAGCAGCACCTGACTGTGAGGAGGTATTTTTTTAGGTGCAGTGAAAAGGTATTTCAGGATAAGGACAACCAAATGTTTTGCTGATGTATATAGACTGTTCCATTTCTATGGAAGCAAATGCAGATGGAGCACATTTGACAAAAAATGTAAAAAATTACAGAACTGAAAATTGCTTTCTGTAACAAATTCAAAGCACATATTATTTTATAAGCATCTTTCTTCTTGCATGACATATGATAGCTATTTTGTAATTCTTCCTCCTAAGAAAACAGAACTGTTTCAGCACCTTCTATATAATTTAATAGCAATTTATGTGCCTGCTAAGGTAAGAGATAAGCTGGTTTTCCAGGAAAAGCAAAATTCTACAGCTTCTTCATGGGTACTGCTGACTTATGAATAGGACTCATTTAGTTTCTATTCCCTATTAATTTTGACTGCATCTTCCTCTTAAAAGAGCATTCCTTTCTTTCCGTACTTGTAAATCCTTACATGTTTTACATGCTGTAATTACAAACTGCATCCCAGTAATGACTGCTAATCCTTGCAGAAAGTGTAGTTTCCATCCCAATACCAAATCACTATCGTGTCCCCAGGCTAGGACACACCAAGGCAAGGACAGACTGGAAGAGCTGTGGGACCATTTGCCTGCTGTCATGACCTGCTGGGGACCATTGGGCTCAACTTTCAAGACCTCCAGGATCCTACACAGAGACCTTACTCTACCTTGGTGGCCCTACGCCTCCTGTGCACCAGCAGTCTGGCTACGTGGCATAGACCAGCTGGAGGCATCAAGTCCTTGGCAAAAAAAATGCTCATTTTCTGCCAGGGTTTTCTGAAGCTGGCCTGCATGTTCCTGCATCCCTGACATGCTCCTGGACAGCTCATTGAGCCCTCACTCTCCTGGCTCCTCCAGCTGCCTTATTTGCCCAGAGCAATCTGGTAGCCTGTGACTTCCTGGATCCCTTTGCTCCTTTCCTTTACTGATTTCTTGGGGACTGTTAAAACCTAAAGTAAGATCTGCCTGATAGCCATCTGAAGCTGGCCTGCATGTTCCTGCATCCCTGACATGCTCCTGGACAGCTCATTGAGCCCTCACTCTCCTGGCTCCTCCAGCTGCCTTATTTGCCCAGAGCAATCTGGTAGCCTGTGACTTCCTGGATCCCTTTGCTCCTTTCCTTTACTGATTTCTTGGGGACTGTTAAAACCTAAAGTAAGATCTGCCTGATAGCCAGCCCAGCAATCTCAATTTAACCTCATAGACACCGAAGTTTTAAGCAGGAAACATATGTGGATTGCCAAGGTTTGCAACCGCACACGTTTGTCGTGTTTGAGCTGAATACCTTAGCATCCCTCCCACATTCAGCCCCTTTTGAAAGCCTGGAGTGGCTGAACTGTGCCCCTGTGAAAG